TGCCAAGTTTTTATGCCCTACGAAAATTAAAACATAACCGCGTGGGTAGCAGGTGCACTACTCACAGTGAGGAAAACAGCAGCGCCCCCTCGCGAGCTCAATATATCATACAAAAACAGTCTGCGTACAGATTCGAACGCCAGTCAGCGCGAGATCCGTGCTTCGAATGCCACATGGGAATGGGTTCAAGGCAGGGGTTTCCCCAGGATTCTAATCAAGGGGGGGGTGTCCCAATGGCCTGGGGGGGGGGGGGGGGGGAGAGAGAGAGAGAGAGAGAGAGAGAGAGAGAGAGAGAGAGAGAGGAGAGGCGATGCGAGGCGAGGCTAGATAAAATATAAAACTGTTTCTTTTTTAGTCCACTAGCTAAATTACAGACGTCTATTAACCAAATGCTCATACCCGTAATGTATGTTTCTTTTTCTCTATATATACACCTGAGAGGTGGTGTTTTCTACTTAATCTGAAAAAAAGAATTTGGGGGGGGGGGGGGGGGGAGGGGGGGAATCTAGGGAAATCCCTGGTTCAAGGAGAAATTTGGCACGCGGCATTCGAACCACGGACATTGCGGTGACTTGTGTTTGCACTGTCTTTTGTATGATGTATGTGTGACTCCGGCTTTAGGAGTTCTTCGACTGGTCCATATTTTGCACCCTAAAAAAGTTATTCTAAGCACCCCCTAAAAGGGTTCTTCGTGAAGAAACCTATATGGGCTTCTTTTAAGTAATGCGAAGGCAAAAACTGTCCCATGGAGCGAAGCCGGCGTTGTCTGGAACCGTCGGTAGCAGAAAAACGGCTCCCACAAGTGGAATTCCCATTGGCCGCGACGCATCATATCAGATGCTTCGTGACGGAAGCCGGCCGGGCGCTCAAGGTCAAAGCGGATGCGCCTCAGAAATAAAACACAGAGAAAAGCACAGCAACCTAGATGCATCGATCACGGAAGCCGTGGAGCCGGCAGGGTTCACCGCGCCTGCGCAGTGGGGGAGCGTGATGTCACCGCTGTAGCGCCGTGTGCGATGGGAAGACGTGGCGCGCTGCTTGTAAGAATGCTTTCGCACTCCTACACGTTAGCAGTCTTAAGTATCTCTGCCGAATGTTTGAAGCGAAAGAGTGCTTCATCGGCCAGGTAGCTGTCTTTCTAGTGCGCCAGGGGGGGGGGGGGGGGGGGGGGGGAGGCGACCGACAGCTTTGAGGCGAAACCGTTCTTCACGAGCCGAAAGAGTTCTTGGGGCGTCAAAAGAACTTTCAAAAACGGATTTTTTGTTTGTTTAGGTGTAGGCTTTTAAAACACAAATCTGTCCAGACTACATTTCTTGTCGTTTTCTTATCATATTTTCAGTCAATCAATCTGTCAACAAAACGAATCATTTAGTAGTTGCCTTTTTGGGCGCGAATGCGTGCGTCCGTGCGCGCTTGTATACATCGTTTCCCGTCCTCTGGCGTCTCAGCTTTCGACGTGCCCCTTGCATAAGCTCTAGCGATCACGAGCTGGGATTGGACGTAGCTCTGCAGTTTCGCTATCAAAACCCAACGCTTACGGGGAAACATAATAAGCAACGCCCTTTGTTTCTTAAACAGTCGCCGACAATAGTGTGTTCGGCTACCGAAGTGAACATTTCTCAATTTTTAAACGAATGAGCATGTGGTATTTTGAGACTCTAGGTCACTGACAGTCTAAGAAACACGGGGCGTGGCTTTATTATGTTAAAGACCGACGGCCAGTTCGCGCTTTCCACTTTTCCCCCGCTTCCTCCTCTCCCCTCTCTACCCTGTCGACTGTTCTCTATTTCCTCCTCTTTCTTGCTGAGGAGGATCTTCTGCCTTGCAGAATCTCGAGTCTGGTCGTCGGCCTTTAATTCACGCTCCTGTCTTCGTGATCGGTTCTTCGGCGTCCTTATCGGCTAATCCACAATCTGATTGGCTGCTGAGCGTAAATGAGATGCTCGGGATTCGCCACGCCCTGCTTTTCTTAAGTGCTCAATGAATCGTCAGCCAAGCCCCCATTTATTTAGTTATTATTTTTTGTATCCAGGTTATTGATGCTGTTAGTGCTTGGCAAGGTAGTACGGGGTGAGTCCGTAAGGGGCCAGCACATTTGGCAAGCCTCAAAAATTCGAATTACAAGCGTATTGAATATAATATATGTTGTGACTATATATCCACGTTACATATATATCATGAACAACCCGGTGGTAATTTTTAGTTCGTATTTTTTTTTCTTTTTAGTTAGTACACCAAATAAGTTAACTCATGCCATCGACCGACGCCACCTAATGTGGCCACGTCTGGTTCCAGCTCGGTGCTGATTAACCATATACTGGCGCTTCCGCGCGCGAGCACTGTTTCATATCGGTTTCGCAGGTCTCACCATCGACAGCGACAGCTGAAATAACTCACACCCGCTTTTGGTGCTCGATCGAGGTTTCCATTTTCTTTTATTATTATTATTCCTATTATTATGTCTTTTGTACATACCGAGTACCGACCCATTAAAGAAACTGTCGCTTTTAAATGTGGCGCGCACAAAGCGAATGGAGTATGGACAGACGCGGGAAACCCGCCCACGGAGCAACTTGATTACCCAATTCTAGAAGCCGTTCGTTTTCTTCTTTTTTTTTTTTTTTCCCCTCTTTAAAGCAACGAATTCGTAGTAACCGGGTTTCGTATATAACGTCGGGCTCGAACGAGCGATTTCTTGGGGTGTCGGACCGATGTTTCTTGACGTTGTTATTTTTGAACGCCTCTTTTTTTTTTTTTTTCTTTTGTTTTGGCGTTCTTTTCTGTCCCCTGTTTTCATTTCGGAGGGCTGTAATAAAACATGATCGACGGTGGTCAAAAGTGGACGGGAGCCACTGGTCTCTGGTTTTCGTCCGGCGCCCCAATCAAATTTCGCTCCGCGCGGAAAGGAGAAGGAAGGGTGAGGGGGAAAGAGGCCCTCTCGGACTCGGTTCATGGGACCCAACCTGGGTCTTCCTAATTGCAATTTGTAATTATGCCTTTTAAACGCTCGTTGTGTCTTGAGTATCTTAAAAAAAAAAAAAAAAAAAGCACGTACGCGCCTCTCGCGGAAGCCTTGTTAGGGCGTTAAGCATAAAACGAGGATCGTCCGTGTCGCCGAGTGGGCAAGTAAGCGCTGTTGGGGGATATGTACCGGGCAGTTGGCGCTCCGAGTAGCTTAAAATATAAGAATAAATAAACGTTCTCCTCCTCACATTAACCAGGCACGATAGTTGACGGCGCGGGAATAACTTGTTTGACGCCGGCATGCCGTGAGCAGCGGCCATTATATCGCTCTTTACAGCTCCCAGTGTGGCTGCCATAAAATGTGTACGCGCGGGAAACAACACAGTCCGTGCTGTCGTGAGAACGACCCGATCGCGAACTTCGTGGTTTTTGTTGTTGTTGTCGTTGCTTAAATGCGGTTGCTCTTTGTTCCCCTGCTTCGCTTTGTTGGCTGAGTTGAGGATTGTGGTAAACAGGGACGACTGTGTACAAGCTGCAAAGATTTTTTTTTCTCTCTCTTTCCCGTGTTTAGAAGGTCCAACTGCTCTCGAACAAAATATTGCGCTGTCGGGTCAAAGTACGTTCCCAGGATTAAAGCGCAGTTGTTTCCTTCTCTTTACTGAGCGTTCAAACGAGTTGACGACGTGACGTTCGCAGAACCCGTTAATTACGGCTCGTGTATGCGAGAAAAATAAAAATAGTGATGTGGATTTCGTGCGCCGTCAGGGAAGAACGATCCGTTCGTGCGCGTCGAGAACGAGAGGTGTACGCGAAATCTGGGGTGAGGATATTCGATGCCCTCGATTTTCAAAGCGACACGCGACGGGGCGCAGCCGCTTGAATGACACGGGCCGAGATCGTTTCCGTCGGTGGTATAAGAAAAGGGGGAGAACGCTCTCGATTGAGTGAGGCGAATCACGATACATGACTCGCCCACAAAACATGACATCACCGGCAAAGTATAGAGTAGTGGGGCTCCTAATGACCAAATTTTTTTTCTCGTCTCTTTCTCTCTATATTCTCCCGGGCCGCTTTCTGTTCGGAATGAGGAAATTGATGTCTCCGCCACATGCAGCAGTATCTCCATCGTGGACAACGCTAATGGTGTGGAGCGAAGAGTCCATTCAAGTGCCGCTATAATTGTCGGGGCGTGGAGAGATCGCTTTGTGTCCGTTCGCGGCGAGTCGCCTCAAAAATCGAACGCAACGAGAAGTGATCCGGGGTCTCCAAACCGCAGACCAGAGCGAGGTTGTTTGGCGTGTCGTTGGAGGACTGTGACGCGGGGGTGCCAGGGGTCCCGGAGCGGAGCGCGGCCGGCCCGCGTGTCTGGCGCACCTGAGCGGCGCGGGGCGGCGTCGTGGTGCGTCGGCCGCGCGGCGAGCGTGTCAACGGGGGGAGGAGCCCGGCCGAGCGGGAATCGGCACGGCCTCGCAGGCTCCGACCATTCAGGACGTCCTACGTAGCGAGTTGCGGCGTTGCAAAGGCCGCCGCCATGCGTGCCGGCCCGCGGCATGCGAGACGACAACGGCCGTGTCCGCGGCGAGAGGGGAGAGAGAGGGCCCACGCGCTCCCCGCTGCGGATCAACTGCGAAGCACAAAAGAGGCGAAAAACGAGATTGATTTGCGAGTGCCAGCGATAGAGGCCACTCCTCCCGCGCTCGGGCGGACCTCCTCTCCTGGCGGCTTTTCTTTGTGCCGCTCTTTGGGAGAGGAGGCGACGCAGCCCTCCCCGCTTCGTGCGGGCCGCCGGCCGACTGTACATCATCATTTGATGAATGCGTGTCTGTCACGAAGAGAAGCCTTTTGGATGGACTCCAATATGGCGATTGTTGTTGGAGGAGAGGGTTCGCCGCCTCCTCGCCCAGCCTCTCTCTCTCTCCGTTCGAGCCTTGCCGCCTGGTTCCCTCTCCCGACGGGGTCGAGCGGGGAGGAGAGGCGTCGGAGAGGAGGCCGAGCGCGTGCTGTCGGCGCTGACGATCAACTCTCCCTTCAGTGACTCCGGAGCCACGGACAGGAGCGCCGCGCTCTCCAGCAGTGCGCCGCTCGAGTCGGCGCGAGAAAAAGACCGTCGTCCAGAAATAGCGGGCGCGATCGGCCCCGACCGACTGATGCGAGGACCCAGCGTCCAGTTTCCCGTCACGTGACTGTTCCTCGTGCTGTGCGACGTGTGCGTGACTGGCGACGTTTCGGCGCTTTCCGGCGTGGATTGGAGTGTCGGCCCGGAAAGCTGGATGGGATGGTTATCCGGTCGGCGTCCGCCGAGGCGGTGGCCGTGATCGCACCCGCGGTCACGGCAGCGACGGCCACCACGACGCGCCGCCGGCCGCGCAAGGCCCCGCCGCGGCCCAGTTGCCGGCTGTCGCTCGTCGATGCCGTGGTGGCGGGCCTCGCCGCGGCAGCAGCCAAGAAGCAGAAATGTAGGTACCCCGACAGTGTCCGTGTTCCCTCGGCTCGCCCGCTGCTTGCGGTCGTCGCCAGCAGCGAGCGTGCCGTCTTCCGGGTCTGCCCACGAGGCCCCCGCTGACTCAGGCAGCCTTGGCCGAGCGGTCAGCAGAACCACGATCGGGACACGCCCGCGTGCCCCTATCGCGGGTCGCTGTCGTCGCTCCTTCCAACGCGCGTGGTGCCGACTGCTAAAGAAACCTCGGCGGAGTCTGCTCCCTATCGTAGATGCCGGTTGTCCCGCTCCAGGAAGCCCGGCGAGCCAGTTCGTTCGTCGACAGTCATTCCATTTTAGTACGCGACGGTAGTTGGACGAACCCCTCTGCCCGCTTCACAGGCTACTTCTGTTTTCGAAAGATTTCGCGAGCTTCTTTGAGAATGGGACGTTTTCATCCGGCGACCGATTTTACTCGATTTATTGAAAGGTAGCGCGGTAATGATAGCGCAGTCGTGTTTTCGTTCTCGTTTGAATTTGAGAAAATCGGTTGTCAACAGTCGTACCTGGCCCTGGCTATTACCGTTCATTCAGCATGTTCCGTGTCTTTTCTCCAAACTTCCGCTTCGCGTTTCCGTATGTTGTGCAGACTTCAGTACTGCGTATATGGCATCCAAACTCGACGTTGAACGGAGGTTTTCATCAATACTTTCCACTCGTCCAAATCCGAGACGGAGTTTCGTCTAGCGACACGCCGGTTCGATGTATTCCCTCCTCTGTTTCCCGAAGTTCGGCCTCAATTCCATCTCCATCTTTCGGCGTCGTCTGTCATCATCTGTCGTCGCCGCGCACACACTTGCACGCTGATCCTGTACAAATCTGTGCGCGGCACTACAGCGTTTCCACGCAGCGTTTGTATTTCCCAGCACTGGCCGTAACCAGACCCCGTGTTTTGGCTCCCTTTACACGTTTTTTTCCCCCCTCCTAACTGCATTCATTACCCCGCACCAACGTGGTCCGGCAACCGCGCGCGTCGCCTTGACATGTGGCGCCATCTCGGGTACGTCCTGCTAACCATTCGACCTCCGTTCTTCCGGTGTTTGGTGTTTTTGTCGAGCGCGCGACATTTCCAACCCGGATTTTGTTTTGTTTTAGAGTCCCGCGACTCGCGCACGGAGGTGGCGGTGGGTTTTGAGTGGAATACAATTGCGGCCACCTGACGAAACGATATCGCGGCGGGGGTAGAAGCGTCCGTTTTCGAGCTTGCTGTTCGTGTCTCGTGATTTATAGCGGCGAGTTGTCAAAGCCCCCGCTACCTACGCCAGTCACGGAAAGTGTTTTCTATATTACTTTTTTTTTTCCTTTTTTTCCCCCTAGCTGGTTCTGGTTATTGCTTTTTTTTTTTCCCCTTGAAAGATTTGCGGGAGATTATTTTTCATGTCAGCGAAACGGCTTCCCATGGAGAGAGAGAGGGAGCAACGACTATGACTTGCGCGCGGTCGCGTTTGGCATATGTCGCGCAAAACTAGTTTTCCCCTTCTCGCGACGCTTACGGTGAACGACTTCACGAAGCGAACTCCGTTAATCCAGTTGTTGTTGCACGGATGTGCGCCATTCTCGCCGATATACTACACTCCGTATTATTTGAAGTGCGACCGAGGTGGAAACTACGAACGCGAGGATGTCTTGAACAGCGCTTGCACTGCACGAACGCCGCGTGCACAACGGCTATGATCAAAGCACGGGGTTTGCGCTCGCAGGCTTGACTTCGCTCGCGCCTAAAATTAAACAGAGTTCTGAGCAAAAGTTTGCCGTCAGCTTCGTCGAAGTTACACTTCCTCAATTGTGCGCGTGAAGAAAGGCGGTCGCATGCGTGATTCACATGGCGCGATTTTAGTTGCGATTTCGCAATGGCGCCGTCACTCGTGTCGAAAAAGAGTCAGTCTAACGGGACAGGCCGGCGCTAAGATGGTTCTTAAAAGGATCGACTTTGTTTTTGGTTCGTGCTGAAACCAAGCCGAAAAAAAGAAACAAAAACCTTGTTGTGCGCTTTCTGGCGCGCTGTGTTCTCGGCTGCACATCATAGGATATTTATTTTCTTTCCACTCTACGTTGTTGCTCATATTAACCTTCCTTTGTTCGGTTTATTTTCGGCGTATCTTCTCTGAAGTGTAAGGTAAGCTCACCTTATAATACATTGGCGGATGATGTTGACCATCGATGAAGGCTTGAGAGCATTGCCGTTTGCCGCGCTCGACCGATGTCACCCAGTTTTTTTCTGTTCGGCGCGGCACTCTATGGAACCTGGGTGTACATCATCCTTTCGAAACAGTAATTACTCACAACATGAAAGATAAACGACTGTAGATTCACGACGAGATTGCACATTCGCGTAAATTGTTTTGCCGAACTTAGCTTCTTTGACAGTTCCGTGACTCATATATGTGGCAAAGGTATAAACGACGTCGACTGCTCAGTTAATTTAACGGAAGTGCGGCGACGAAACATCTGTGGCGAGCGTCAGAGATGTCGAGCGCACGGGAAAGATAGAGAACTATCGAAGGGAAAAAAAAATCAAAACATTCTTTCATTTCTCGCTAATCCTGACGTCCCAGAGCTCGAGCCGTTTTAAATGGATGAAGTGGAAATCACTCATTTTTGTAGCTTCCTGTTATTCATTTAGGACGTACGTACCCAGAAATGTTTTTCGTTGCAACTGGCCCATTTACTACCCTAGTAGTACTAATCATAACACTAATAACAACTATTGGCGTTCCAAGGAGGTACGCATAATATTTCTTTCCCGCGCCATGCAGTTTCACCGCGTTGTTTTGTGAGCGCAGCCATTGTTTAAACGCGTCACGAGGAAATGTTTTAATGTTTGTCGTGGCTTCTGACGCCACACATTTTCTTGTTTGGTCGTAAATTCGCAGGAAGTGTTTAGCCGTTCATTCTCGCTTTTGACAGCTTTCATCGCGAGCTTTAGAACTTCCTAAATCTTCAGGTGGCAAAGGTAACTCGATAACGTTAAAGAGAGTTCACTGCCCTCTACACTTCTTGACTGAGGGCGACAAGTGGTGCTTGCTGGGTGTTCGTACGCCCTTTCGATGACTCTCACTAAGCGCAGCCATTGCGACCAGGACATCCGCAGCATAAGCCAACAACCTCCTCCCTCTTTCGCTGTAAACATGCCCGCGCGTCTATTTCCTGCAGTGCACCTGGAGAGCCAACGGCTGCTATCCATATGTAGAGTCCTAGCTGGTGAACGACGAGTTCAGAAAATGGGACGACTATAAACTTATATTCTACCTCGTCATTCGCCAAGCTCCTTCTTTAGATGGGTTTGCTTCCGTGTGTTCTGCGGAAACAGACGCACGAACATTTTTTTTTATGGTGAAATAACTACAGCCAGGTACTGTAATACATCGACACCTCTCTCAGCGCGCTAGCCTTTGCATTGCGTGGCCGTCTACGAGTATTGAGCTCCGAATGTGGAATCCGTCCACCTTAGTTTTGGCCGAAGGGGGTAGCGCTTTATCGTCTCGTGCACATCTGTCTGACCACAGTGTTCAAGAGGACCGCACGTCGTGTCGTCCCTCACGATTAGCGCTGCAGAGCATTAGAGCTGCGATTTTCGGGTTTGCTCGCTGAACTTCTCACTATAGATTAACTTGTTCTTCGTATACACGGCCGAGTTCGATTGAAGCTTTCTCTTCTCGTTGTGCTACGCGTCGCTGCTCTTTGTTTGGCAAGTGTGAATCAAAACTGACCGGATCGGGTTAAATGAAGTGCCCCGACGGGTCTGTCTTGTAGCCTAGGGCTTATGTTACGTACACCACGAAGGACGCCCTTAAAATGATTGGGGCCTCCTCTATATCTCCTTTACACTGCCAGCATTAAGGTATATTTGACGTAGGTCATTTTGCAATCGCCGAATTAGCCCTGCGCTCGTGAGTTTCGAGCACATGCCACGCGCGGAGAATCACAAGATGACTCGCCTCCGACCATAAAGGTCCCTGCAAGCTATTGGTACCTTTATGATCGCTTGAACGTGGACACCGATCCAGTGTTTACAAAATCACAGCTCAGCGTTGCGATCTTCCACAGCTCAGTACGCGTATGTTCGTTGCTTCAAAACGCGAGCAAAGCACGCGGCGTATACGAACAAATGCTGAAATGAATGCACGAGATTGCGGTTTAAAAGCTCGCCTTTGCAGAACGACAGCTCGCAGGTGCTCTTCAAAGCAAAAAGCGCTTGATGGCTCGCGCTTCTCACCTCGGCTGTCCCGTCGACCTGGCCGTTGTCTTCCACAAACGGGCTTCTAAAGTCACACGGGCTTCTGATCGAAGTTTCAGCGTTCGTGCGTATGGCGCGTGGATTGCTCGCTTTACGAAGCGATGAACATGCGCGTGCTGGGATGGGATTTTGTGAACACTGGAACGGTATATATTACGTACAATACATCTGCGGCCATGTCATGTATGCTTATAAGCGATGGACGGCTCAAAAGTCTTTCCGCTCGCGGTGCTTTCTTACGGCTGTTTTATTTATCCCTACGCTTCATGCGCAGCCTTAGTTTGCTCTAATCTCTCTGCTACGGCATACGTAGTTAGGCTTTAGTTCTTTACAGGTTTTAGTTTAGAACTCCCGCTGCCGCTCAGTTGATGTTATAACGTAGTGCATAATCGAACTTCTGGACCGGTTTGCTAGAACAGCGTCTCAGCTGAGACTGGGTGAAAGAAAGCAGTGCAAAGGCTGGGGCGCGATCGTCTTGAGCCGCGGTTTGAGTCTGGCTCAGCTGGTGCGCTGGCTTTGGCAGCGCTGTCATTGACCCAGTCTCAGCTGAGACGCTGTTTCTAGCAAGCCGGCCCTGAAACTGGCACTGTGCGACCACCGTACTATAAATACATTCATTGTAACGAGCCTCTAGTTCTAGTTTGTGTTCCTGTCTTTACACCAAAGCACAAAAGACGCTAAAACCTTTGATGTTACGAAAACGAGCAAAAAATGGGAACGCGAGAAAAATAAATAATTGAACA